AAAACACTCTCTCTTCATATCAAAGGGACGAGTCTGGGCCTCCAGACGCTCCTTATCAGATTTCCTTAGATAAGGAGCAGCAGCCCCAAACTCTGCCATGGCAGCATCACCCATGTTTTAACCTGGTATGAAGGTAAACATGTTTAGTTTAGGACAAAAATATTCATCTGTGCTGAATATTTCCAAGAGGACTTGTAAAGTCTTTGATTTAATTGTATAATTAAAAAATAGTAGGATGTTTTATCATTTAATCTCAATAATATTTATTGCTTTCAGTTCACTTTGTTTGAGTAAACAAATCGAAAAGACACCACTACTGCTTTAGCAGCCATAGAGATAAGATGCTTAAAAAAAGGGAAAAAAAGAATAGAATCTATATTTGAGCTGTAAGGCCAATAAAATTAAAAATAACCCTGTCATATTATCAGTATTGTTCATTATATAATAAAAGCACAGTTGTAGACACAACTTGTTTTTACCTAGGTCAGGTTAAGCTTCAAGAGAAGATCGGGATCAGTCAATACTGCTGTTGCAAACCAGAGGAAAATCACCAAAGAATTAATAAATATTATCTTCTAGAAATCCTTATTTGTCATTAGAGGTACAAGATAAGAAGTTTACTGGAGGACCACATAAGGAATTAAATTGCTTTAAATTGCTTTGAATGATATAATAAATGTCTACCTTACCTTTTGCTCCCAACCTGTAATCCCAGAAAATGCTAGGCCTGACAGATGCCGTGTCTCCTTAAATAAAGTCAGTTGATCCACCAAATATGGCATAAATATTTGGAGAAAGATTGCACATTATAAAAGCGTTGTCCTAATTGGGCAGGATGAACTGCTGCTATTTGTTGCTGTAACCTTGTGACTAACAAGGCGAGGACAATACATGGTAGAATGAAAGGGGAGGGCAAGAGGTGGGGTTCAGGGCCAGGGTTGACATCAGGAGTTCATTTCAATCAAAAGAGGTGACTTTGTTCCAATGATTCTTTTTGGTTGTTATAGATTTATCACTGCTTTATATATATTTTTTTATAGTTCTTTTAAAATTTATCATTTTGTCAAGATAGAAAGATAGGATTTTGTTTATGTTTTTCATTCCAACTTAAGTTGATAACACTTGAATATGTAATGTACTTTTCATCCCTTTTGTTTCAGTAATATATTTTGCTGTTTTCTATTAAAAAAAGTGAATTGTTTGAATAACAAAATGTTAACAGCAGCAAAAATGTGCCAAAAAAAAAAAAAAATCTTAACTTCACTTTTTCTTTTTTAGTATAAGTCATCTATGAAGGTGTTTTTTCCCCCCCAAATAGATGAATGGCAGACGAATAGGATTAAATACCAAGATTAAGGCTAATTTGTCTGAAAGTTTGTTTTGGGAAAATATTTGTTCTATTTAACCTGGTTAAGATTCCTAATCTTAAAGCAAAATTTCAGCAAAGTGGGGGGAGAGGAGTATCTAAACTCGCTGCTGAGTTAAATGAAGAATCGTAGGTGTCTTCAGTGAAATCTAATAATAATTATCACTCAGCACTGTTCTGCCCAAACAGGTTTACAGCTCAGTCTCATCATGTCATCATGCCATTGTTCCATCTCCTCTGGCCTGGTGGACAAAGATAACCCCATGAAATTCTTCTCTAGATTTTTCCCCTGCGACTGAAGGACAGCTTGGAAGGGCAGCAACAAAGTTGAGCTATAGTCTGTCATGATAGATGTGAGGAAGCAGGTGCACTGCACCAAGAATGCTCTGTCCCATGAAGACAATTGCTATTATTACTCTTATAGCCCTCTAACACTGACCATAACCTTTACTGTTCAGTTTATTTTTTATGTAAATTTATAATAATATTGTGGAAAAATTCTCCCCCAAAAATATCATTTAAAAAAGGTTAAAGTTCAGGCTTAACTAAACTGCAATTTTTTTCTACTAAGCTACTTTAAATTATTTAGAATAAACTCAATTTAAATTACAAGGACTGATCTTTAAGGAAGTAATCACTTAATGCAATCATTTCGTGGTTTGAATCCTGTTTAATATTTTTATTTTTTATTTAACCCTTTAAGTTAATACACATTTGTTAATTTTGTCAAAATGTGTTTCTATCTTTCAAAATTGCAAAAGCATATTTTATTTTAATGGTTTCTTTTGATGCTTATCGAAGTACTGAGGAATGATTGAAAAGGTCAATAGTTTAAACTGATGCTGAAAGTGGTACATAAATGCAAATTGGAATGTGATTCCTAATAAGTTTGAAGAATTCCTTCTTCTAATTCCTTTTAGATTAACTCTTTGTTGAAGTGTGATGCTTTGCAGTGTTTCCATAAATGTTAGCGTCTCTGAGAATTTGATTTCCCATTGTTGTACTGAGTCTCATTCTCAGCTGTTTCAATCCAATTAGAAATCTTAGCTCATGCGATCGTTTTAAAACTCTTCCCATGCGCAGTGCAGTTGTTGTTTGGTAGAATCAACAGATGGCGTCATGATTGAAACAGGTTTTACTCTCAGCTAAACAGGGTTTTGACCCTTGGTAAATGTTAGTGTTCTATTTAATAATCAATTAAAGTAATGCCTGTGATACAATGCTAATATCATCCAACTCTTATCATTAATCACTGAGACAATTAAGCAAAAAATGTTGTTTGGATTGCATGGCTGAAATGATTCTTTTGTTTTCCTATTATCTCTCTTAGGTGGTTGAATATGTGTGGAGGACGGAGTCACATGAGATAAAGGTCAGCGTTTGGTGCCAACTCAGATCAATCTTCCCTCAGTCCTTTATTCACCCTATCAAAGAGTGCCAACAGTTCGCCGGGTGCAGCTGCAGATACCTGAGGTATGGTAGGCTTCATTGTACTCCATTCATGATGCTACTTCTGATAAATTCTTTATCTTTTTGCATATGTGCACGTTTTATGTTTAAGATTTTATTTATTTGTAAGGTTATATTTTAACCCCAAATCTGTTACTCAATACAGAAAGACCTTTGCTGTATTTGTTGCATTAAGTAAGCAATGTTCCTAGTCAGTATTACGAAGTTTCACTTGGAGCCGGATTTTTTTAACTATCGAATTAAGGCTGAAAAAAATCTAGCAATATTCACTTAACAAGAATTTACGTACCACCTATATGTGGCCAACTTACAAAAATTGTCTTTTACTATCATATTTAATGTTTTACTGCAAGCTTTTTTTATTATTATTTTCTTTACATGACTCTGTAATGTTCTTATTTGAACAGCCCTATATACACACTGTCACCTAATTTTTACATTTAATACCTAAAATTTTGAACTAAATAGTTGCATTGTAGCAATATTTGCGTACGTTTTTAAAACTCTTACATTTTTAACTATTTATGGACGTTTATTTTTTTTTTATTCTGCAACCTGATATGTGCATAACAGGAGAATGATCATCACTAAGAATCCAAACGGTGTATCTGAAGTACGCAAATGCATATTTTCTAAACATACTGCCATACTGTACAGATTAAATTTTAATTTAATAAATTTAAAATTTTTCTTCAAAATGGCTAAATGTAAAATTTAGACCACACCAAATACTGAAGTTGGTTCTGAGAGATATTGTCAGAGTCTAGATGTGAGCAGATTATTTCTGTCTTTATGATACACATTTGGGTTAAATTGGAAACATCATCCACCTTGTTGTTGAATGTCAAACTTACTGGTATGTAGAGGAACGAAATAAAACTCAAGTGCAACCCAGCACTGCTTACGATCCTCCCTACAGCCTATGATTTTTTACTATAACCCTAGTAAAAGTAAAAAAAATCATATTTTGTTTTACAATATATTTCTATTAAAATTATAAATTTTTTACCTTTTCTAAAAATAGTTTGGTATCAAGTGTACAAAAATATGTCATGTTTTTAAAGTGGTATTTTCCATTGAACAAAGAAAATTAAAAAAGTATGTAAGACAAATTTAATTAATTCCCAATTCAGTTAACAAAAAAAAAAAACATGCAAAACTGAAAACATAGAGATGTGCATTCTGTTTTCTAAGTGAAAGGGGCTACTAATATTATCTGCTTTATATTAAGTTTTTAATTTCTGCCGCAATTTTCCGCAATAGGATGTCAATATTGCTGATCAGTTGTTTTATTGCTGATCAGTTGCTGATCAGTTGAGCCATTCATAGAATATCTATAAGGTATGAAGACATACACAGCTCCAACACATGGTGGCAGAATTAAACTACTTATTTCTCAGCCCACTCTGTCTTTGTGAGCTTCTGCCAATATTTTACAGCAATAGTTAGCTGCAGTCAGTTCCCCCTAACTGCAAATGGAACTTCTTATGATTTTTATTTCGACATTATTCTTTCTGTTAGCTTTGGTGAATGATCAAGTGTTGGTAGGTATGCAGATGTCTTATATTTATTCCATTTCATATCTATTTATCCTCATAATGTTGTTAATTCACTAGTATTCTCTGAAAAACCTCAGAAGTCATAAAAACATCTGTATTCATACAGAGATTAAATTATACAATTATGGGCAGCATCTACAGTGACTTCTAAAAGCAATGAGTAAGACAGTTTTTTTAAGGAGTCTGAGAGTAAATGTGCATCGTAGTAAAAAGAAACATTCAAAGTCTTCCTCATTTTACAGTTAAGAGCTAATTTGTGTTCTTATTACAAAAAATATCCCCAAAAAAACAATTAGGTTTGTGGTTGTGGGATGAAGAAATTCAGATTAAATGGCTTTGTGTGTACCTCCTTTTTGTAATTTAAATAATGCTATTGTTATTATGTAGGTTAACACGGGACATTTATCCGTCTGTGAACAAAATGAATGAGGACTCCTCTGGTTAATTTGAATGCATTTTGCTTTATTCTACAGAGTTACATTGCAGACAAAGGGGACTACATCACAGAAGATCCCAAAGGTCTTAGGTGGCCATCACTGTTTCACTCCCCATCTAGCCCTTTCTGTGATGAAGAATGAAGACAAAAAAAATGGAACAATGAGAAATGGATAAGTGACAAAACACTTGGGAAGAGTTACAACAAGTGACACAAAGGCTGTATATGATGGTATGTGTTGCAGTAGAAGATAATTATAGTGCTGTATTCATGACTTTTTTAAAAGCTAAAGCATTCCCCATATTTTGGTTCAATGTCTTAAACACACATTTTCTGAGTTGAAGGGCTAGATGATGTAGGACAGAATGAAATGGATAAAGTCATGATTACATTATTAAAGGGAAGGACATTTACATTACAGTGCTTCCTTATCACAATGATTCCTTTTTCAAAACTCAGGGGAATAATCTCACTGATCAACTACATCAACAAATCTATGGATAAATATAACAACACTGCCACCTTAATGCAAAAACAGTCACTTAGGAATCAACCATGCAGACATCTGACTGTTCTTAAGCTTTCATTTTACCATCATTCCATGAACAAACCATTTGTTCCATCTGAAACCATCTAGAATGTATGTCGTCCTCCATTTATCTTTGCAACCAGATGTTTATATTGACTGTATAAAAAGATGCATATCCTCTCTCTCTCTCTCATTGTCTCACATAAATTAAAATAAAATATTCCTGTTTAAAGTCAGCTGGGTTTATCAAAATCATTTCTCTTTGTTGCATAATAATTGTGGAGATATTTTTCATATATATTTGTTTTTGTAAATCACATTTAATCAAAGTCAAAAGGTTTACTTTAAATAAGTTGTGTATGTTTTTAAAGAATTTGTTGAAGCCCAATTAATTACATGGCCTTGTAAGCCTCATTTACAGCATTTTATATTTATATTATATTCATAATTCTATATGTAAAATAATTTCAGTATCATCCAACTTTTTAAAATGGGTGCAATTTCCAAATAAATGTATGCATCAATCAAATGCTGATATCAATTTTACAGACAAGTTGCTCTGAAGCAAAAATATATCTTAGAAAACTAATACTTGGTCTTCCTATACTCTGCACTCTGCACTTCCTCTATTTTCTTTCTTCTATATCTGTTTTTTTTTGTCTAATTTCAAAGGGCACATCTTCAAAATTAGAAGCTAAACATGGTCAAATTCACTAACGTCCTATCAAAACATAAAACCACTGAATAAAATTGATCTGTAAAAAAAGGGCTGAATGATTTAACATCATTTAAAGCTCCAAATCTCACAGAAGTGATTAATTGAGTTGAATGTTCTGAAACACATTTATGAAAACTTAACTGATGTTTGTGTTAAATGGTTATTTATTAACCATTATTTGAGAAATGAACTGAGTAGCTGACTCACAGTATTCCTTCCGTACATATACTTAATACTTTGTTTGAAATTCAATCAGCTAGAAATAGAAAGCATTTAGAAGAACCCAAAAAAAGTAAGGGGGCAGCAGTACTTTAAATCATTTTTCGTGTTCAAATCTGGAGGAGTCTCTGACCTTTGACCCCACATCGCGGCTCTTGGCACGAAGCTTGTTGACCTGAGACTCAGCAATGTCAGCTCTCTCTTCGGCCTCATCAAGCTCATGTTGCAACTTGCGGAATTTACTCATATGAGTGTTTGCTTGCTCCTCCTGCAGGATAAAACAAGCTCAATTAGACCAGCATGGGTTATCTTCACTAACATAATCATAAGATGAATACAGGTTACAAGTATTTTTTAGAGTGCCTCTGAATAGCTTTTAGAGTGACAGTAATATTCAAAATATACAAGTGGCTTTGAGTCTTTGGAGTCCAACAAGTGCTTGAAGCCCATCAGTTAATGCTTTTCAGAGAACAGAGAAAGAAATGGCATCAAGAAAACAAAAGTCCTTCTCATCTCAGAGAAATCATACACTTACAGCTTCCTCAGCAGCTCTCTTATATGCCTTCACTTTGAGCTGCAGTTTGTCAACCAGATCCTGCAGGCGTGCAACATTCTTTCTGTCCTCCTCAGTCTGCAAGAACAGGAAAAGAAAATGTGGTTTATGAATCTGATGTTCAGTCTTATACAGTATGTGCTGCAGAAAGCTTACAGTACATGTGACATACATATTTGATAGAGATGGATGCCTAACAGTTGTATAAATGTCTTTTGGATTTAAAAATCACCTGATATGTGAGTTCCTTGATGCGTCTTTCATATTTGCGCATTCCCTTTACTGCTTCTCCACTCTTCTTCTGCTCTGACTCCACTTCATTCTCAAGCTCCCTCACCTGTAAACATTATAACATAAAGCCTTTATTATCCCAGTTGCATAAGGATCAAAGAAGATGGAGTAAATATATGTACATCTTTCTGTTAACCTAATATTAATGTAAAAAGGGAACTGATTACACTCACCCTGGCCTCCAGCTTCTGGACCTGCTTCTTGCCTCCCTTCATGGCGATCTGCTCAGCCTCATCCAAACGGTGCTGCAGATCTTTGATGGTTTGCTCCATGTTCTTCTTCATACGCTCCAGGTGAGCGCTGGTGTCCTGCTCTTTCTTCAGCTCCTCTGCCATCATGGCAGCATCAGTGATGGCTTTCTTGGCCTTCTCTTCAGCATTTCTGCATTCCTGAACAGCCTCCTCCACTTCAGTCTGAAGGTGGACCGTGTCACCTTCCAGCTTCTTCTTCTGGTTTATCAGGCTGGTATTCTGAACCATTTTAAAATAGGATATTGCAGAATGTAAGAACTGCATTACTTTATATTGGAAATATTGTGACCTTTTAGATGCAACCCCACCTGTGAATGCAGTAGCTGCACCCTCTCGCTAACATCCAGCAGCTCTTGCTCAGCCAGTTTACGGCTCCGTTCAGTTTGCTCCAGAGCAGCCCTCAGTTCCTCCAGTTCAGCCTGAAGTAGGTTGTTGCGTCTCTCAACTATGGCAATGTTTTCCTTCATATCATCATTGGCTCTGAGAGAGTCATCAAGTTGAAGTTGAGCATCCTTTAATTAATTGGCGAAAGTGAACGAAAATATGAATATAAATCAGTTACGGATAAATATAGAAAATCCCATCAGCATTTAGTTTCTTCTCTTGTTCTCTGACCTTTAGATGTGAGTGAACAGACTTGAGTTGTTTCTGGGCCTCAGCTGCCTGCCGGTTGGCTTGGCTCAGCTGGATCTCCATCTCGTTGAGGTCTCCCTCCATTTTCTTCTTCAATCGAAGCGCTTCATTCCTGCTGCGGGTTTCAGACTCAAGGGAGCTCTGAAGAGTATCCACCATTCGCTGTTGGTTTCTCTTTACTTGTTCCATCTCTTCATCTTTTTCAGCCAGCTTACGTTCAAAATCAGCTTTGATTTGGTTCAGTTCGAGCTGGACTCTCAGAATCTTCCCTTCCTCATGCTCAAGAGAGGCCTGTAGATATATAATAGTTTAGATTATTTCTGTATTTTAACCAAACACAAATATTTTTAAGGAAGGTTTTATATATACAGTATACCTCTGCCTCCTCTAAAGCTGTCTGTATCTCAGACTTTTCTTGCTCCAGCTGCTTCCGTATCTTCTCTAGCTCATNATTGTCCTCTGCAGGTTCCTCTTGCACTGCTCCATCTCCTCATCTTTCTCAGCCAGTTTGCGTTCAATATCAGCTTTAATCTGATTGAACTCTAGCTGGGAGCGTAAAATCTTACCCTCTTCATGTTCCAGGGAAGCCTAGTTTAGAAGACCGTGTTTAATTACCCATTAGAAATGTTTATTCCACTGTTATTTGAAAAATGTATTCTCCCCAAACAAAGATGTTTACCTCTGCTTCCTCGAGAGCAGACTGTATCTCATTCTTCTCTTGCTCCAGTTGTTTTCGTAGCTTCTCCAGTTCATGGATATTTTTTCCACTCTCACCAAGTTGCTCAGTGAGGTCAGAAATTTCCTCTGTGTAACACCAAGCAGAGTAAAATCTTTAGGTGATTTAATTATACAGATAACTTTTTTTAATTCTATGCAGCGGGCCTTACCCTGAAGATTCTTGTTCTCTCTTTTCATTGTCTCCAAATGGTCTAGAGATTCTTCATAGCAGTTTTTAAGTTTGAAGAGCTCAGTGCTCAGAGCTCTTGCTTCCTTCTGGGAGCTTTCTAGCTCACACTGTGACTCTTCATATTTCTGCTTCCACTCAGACAAGACCTACAGTGAAAGGATAGGTGAATCATTATTATAAATCACTTAAATGGAAAGAGAAAAGGCTTTGGATTAGGGGAGAAAACTTCAAATACAGTATAATGTAGTGGTTTGAACTGAAGTGTTATTATTATTCATTTGTGGTTGTTAAACTCTAAGTTTACCAAGACTAATGTATCACCAAGCAGTTTATCTAATTAGGACAATTCTTGTGTCAGAACAGAAAGTAACGATCTTCATTATGTACGTAACAAAGATTTGGGAATGAAATGGAAGAACAGACGGAGTGGATTATTCTTAACAGAATTTTGATTGTCCTTGATCTAAGAGCACTGCTTATTATCGTGATATGGCTGGAGCCAGTAATGTCTCCTCATTTACAAACATGTGTCTGATGTAATGATGTGATAATGTGATAATGTGGCACCCTTTAAAATGTATAGGATGCTGCTTTAGACCATTATTCTGTGCTGCTGCTGATTTTCCCACGAACTGACACCGATGGTACCCTTTTATCCATGCAGTCTATTTGCTCTGAGTAACATTACAATTCTCTATGAAACCTTAACCTAAGTGTTATTTAAAGTGTTTGTTCAGAGTGATCTTTTCTCAGGAAAGAGACAAAGCTTAAAGGTGTAAACACAGAGCTTTCACCTTACAGAAGCAAAAGTGGTTTTTAGGGTTAAAGTTCTGGCAAATATATTCAGGTGAAGCTTCTACAACCTGTAGCCCGACAAGTGATTTTCCTTAAAACAAATTCTGACTGCTCTTTCATCGATTAGTTTAAAAGACTTAATAGTCTTAGGAAAATAAAGTTTCATTTAAATTTACCTCTGAAAATATAGTAAAAATAACACTGCTATCCCACAAAAAAGCTCTGGTATTTACCCCTAACTTTGAGAACCTTTATTCACCAGGACTTACTTTGTCAAAGTTCCTTTGCTTCTTGTCCAGAGCAGCAGCAGCAGCATTAGACCTCTCCACATCCACCATGAGATCTTCAATCTCATTCTGCAGCCTGTGTTTGGTCTTCTCCAGAGAGGAACATTTAG